TCTTGGTCAGTCAGGTTTAATGCAGACATTTCAAAAGCAGTTATCGCAGGTTTTATTTTGCTGACAACAGTTGTTATCGTCTACTATAGTTCTTTCTAGTTTATACCCTACTTATTTGATATTATTGTTAACTGCTGTAACATATGAGCTTAATTAGAAGTAATTGATTTTTTAAAAAAACCATATATAGTTAGTTTACTTCTGTATTTTCAAACATAGACATTATCCAGTTGGTAGGTCAATATATATATAGAAATTGTTCAGTCAGAAGAATCCCATACTCCATTTTATTATAACTTTTTTTTTGCTATTTATCAGACATTAATCTTTTTTCGTCAAACCGAAAAAACGATAGCTAGAAAAAAATTGGAAAAGTAAAAAATAGAACAAAATCTTTAGTGAACGTGTTTAGTAGAGGCTAAATTTTAGCTTAACGTTTCAGATTCTCGACGTCTTAGTGGCAATTCAATTTCAGCGTTAATTTCCAACTTTTTGCATATCTTCTGTAGCATCAACGTACACAACTGTAGGTTACGATCCATAACATTTTGCTATAATAAATGTCGTACATAACGATGGTCAATGAATGAGGATTGTTGCTTTAATATGAAGTAGTTTGTATATGATTTGCAACTTTGAAAAGGGAAAAACAACGAGAAAAAAGCATAATACTGATAGTACAATTTTATGAGTGTTACAGCAGCAAAGATCAAACAAAAAATTTTATCTTTTATCTGTCTTATTCGTTTATTGCAGTTGAGCAGACTATGATTTAAATATCATATGTCAATGTTACCTACAATTTAACTATCAAAATAAAGAAATACCTGTGTTTCAACTCTCGTCAAGCGTGAAAAAACCGTTGCTGAAGAAACTCGTCTGGAACCTTCCTGTTGAGGATACGGTTTTCCCAAGCTGTAGTCGAGTCTTAAAAAAAAGCAGCGTTATTGCCTTGTAACATACGTCTGTTTTTATTACATTGGATACTAGCAACTGTTAAAATACACACCAATGAAACAAGTAATTTTTACACTGCTAAAAAGTTGTAAAATTATTGAGCACCTTCGCTGAAGTTCTTTTATACGAACCATAGTATTTAGATAACCATGTGAATATTGCTCCATTACATCTCGAACATCATAGGGTTTTCGAGCCTGCTAAAATGTGGAAAAAAAAAGGTTTACTAATATTAACAGTGTCACATTTTTTTTGATTTTTGGATTGTAATAATTTGCAGATTTATCAGGTTAATTTTATTATCAGTTTTAATCGAATAGAGTTAAATGTTTTTTTATTTTATAAACTTGTAGTTTACAGCTTAAATTAATTAAATTTCAATAGTTTATGGCTTATGCAATTAGAAGCAGCTGAAAACAGCAATGATCAATTGAGAAAAGTAAAAAAAGACCTGAAATTTTCGTCTTGCCACAAAATATTTCACCTTGCAAATTGCTCGTATCGCATTTCTATGAGCTTCTGTTAATTCCGACACTCTATAATTGGTTTGAAGCAAAACAAAAAAAAAAAAGAAACTTTACAGCAATTGTGTCATCTAAATTTTCATTAAAAAAATAAAGCCATAGCAAATCTTATGAATCAAAAACCTGTTAAAAACTCACAACGATATTTTTTGATGAGAAGAATTAGAGTTTTCTTCGGCTTCATAGTCGGCATCAGCATATTCCGATCGTGAATCACAACTACACTTTTTTTCAACTCGTTGTTTACTACAGTGATGTACTACTGTAAGCATTCAATTCAGCTAATTTTTTTTTCATAAAAGTTACTATTTTGATCGTTATGATGTATTAGCTCAATACATTTGACCGAAAAACAATAACTATACATTTGGAAATTGTTGGACTATCTTCGTTTTCTCCATCACTGTTTCGTGTATCAACATTTGCATTCGATGTTCGATGACGGCCTCGAAGTCTGCATCATTTACAACAACAGTTTCCATTATCGACAAAAATGTTTATTTTTTATTAAAATGAACTTCTTGTTAAAATTTAAAAAAAAATTACTGATTGTTTAATATTTAAAAATCTTAAAGTAAACAAAATACTTACATAAATGGTTTTGTCGTAAAAATTCCTGTTGTTTTACTGGAGACAACTTTTTGCACCAAAGTTGGTGAATATTTTGCGCTTCCAATTTTATGGTCTGAACGTTCGTTATTGCTTTTCTCTAAAGAATCCACAAACGCTGACCTAAATTTATTTTTTACAACGAATGTATAAAAAACATTTTGTTTCGAGATAACCGTCGTATTAAACTTCTTACAAGAATTCTCTTGTTCTATTCAAGAAACTACTACTACCACTGTTGTCGCTAAAACCTGGTCAAGTTTATTTTTAAACTTTTTTACCATAAAACTATTAAAACAAATAAATTAATGTAAATTTTACCAAGTAGCTGTGTGTCCAGTTTGCCTTAGCACTGCATGACATCTCCATATGCACTGTATCAGCGTTGCTGCGGCTGGTATTTGTCGATTAAAATGCTTCTGCCGTTGTTTTTGTTGTACTTTTAGCGCAAATCCCGACCCAAGAATTCCCTAAACATTCCACTGGCTTTTGTGCAATTTTTGCTTAAGTCATTAGCATGTTCAGCTTCAACGTCGAAATTTCGACTAGTTGCATGGGGAGAAGAATTTTACGTACAGCTGGTAGAGCAAAGAATGAGATCGCAAATATGGAAAAACACGAGGCCACAGTTCGTCCGAGCCATGTTTGTGGTACCACATCGCCATATCCGATTGTGGTCATTGTTATCTGGAAATATACAGAAAAATTTCGCTAGAGCTTTAACCAATTTTTTCAGTGGTACTTTTGTGCCAAGAAGAAAAACTTTGTTTTGGTTGAGGATCGAAAAGAATTGGAAAGATAATGTTAACTGTAAAACTGATTCTCACGTAGAGGAAAAAACTGTTATATGTCAATTCTTCTTTTTGTAAATCAAGTAAATCAATTTTGTAGTAAATCAATTTTGAGAAATGTCTAATTTCACACTATTATTATACAGCCTATAGTGATCACTCATTAGTAAAACAGTAGAATTTGAGAATGTAATTTCAAGAAACTCACTACTCCCCACCATAAAGCATCAGCATAACTACGGAAAGCGCGACGACCATCGACAGTTTTATGATCTTTTTCGGCTAAGTATACAAAATAAGACGAAAATATTAAGCCAAGAAAACCAATGTACAAGGTAGTTATCAGCTCTTGACGATGAATAAACACTACAGATCCTAAGAGTTTCCTAAAAAGTTATGCTTGATACGTCAACATTTTAAGCGTTTGTTTTGGTGCTGTAAGAATACTGCCTAAGATTCTTATAAATTTTTGTCATGAAAAAGTAATCTGTCTTTGTAATTTTATCAAAAATCAGGTGAGTATGTGTTAATAGTTAAGCAGTGTAACCAAAAATTTGTTCATCAATTATTAGATACGTGCCATGAGCCTCCCTGACGATCAATGTGAAGCATGCGAAGTATTTGAAGAAATCGAACACCTCTAAACATGAAATCAGTAATAAAACATTGTCTTATAAGTTCTGTAATTTTTTAAGAATAAAATGTAGGGCGAATATTTTAAGCAGTTTGCAGCTGACAAAATCA